TCGATAATACCGACTACGGAGTTCTAACCCCGGGGGTCTACGAGACCGAACCCGCTTTCGTACAGGCCGGGAGTTAGTTTGACTGCTCTTGACAAGTCAGACCACTTCCTGCTTCGGTAAATATCACAACCTCAGGAAGTCATCACTATCGTAAAGCGAAATAAGACGTAGTAAACTTTATTCGATCATCACCTCGAACGATGTTCAGAAAGCATGTGAATGTGTAAGAAGGATGAGGGGAGGGGTAAATTTATTTTACGAGAAACAGAAACGCGAACAGCCTGCGCTCAACATAGTAAGCAAACGAGCAATAATGAAGTAAGGCATGGAATTTTAGGCAATCGAGGGAATCCACTGGAGCAAATAGTTTATCTCCATAAGGTACACTGGCTGGAACAGGTGTTCCGCCATCTGCGCGGTTGTCACCTGTCATCACAGATGAAGTATCAGCTCAAATACAAACAGCTCGATTGGCATTAACAAACTTGAGACATCTATGGCACCGACGGAAAAATTTGCTGTCCGTTAGGAATTTCGATATATGCCCAGATGCGTATTTCGAACACAACCTCAGGCGAACATTGTGAAAAAAAATTCTTCGACTGATAGGAGTCGAGTATATGCTGGAGGAGTTCGGCCAGTTCTGCCACAGGACCGCGTTAGTCCACTCCTCAACCCCACTGTCGCTGTTGAAGTATTAGAGTGTTGTGTTCGGACTAGACGTACGAATGACACGAGCGACTCGTGCTTAACCTAACAGTCCTTGTGTATTCTTTTGATTAGATATCGATACGGAAATATGTAAAACAAATCATGCATACGAGAACGGCACAGTGATGCACCGATTAATCAGATTGCGTCCATGACATATCATTTGATCGGATACTCGATTGGACGAACATTGACTGATTCGTTCCAATCGGGCTCAGCTTGTCTGACGCGTCGCGATCGTGCGTGTGGCATGACTCTGAGGGGGTGCTTAAGCTCCGTTCTTACACAGAGGAAGTAGACAAATGTTGCTATTTGGGCAGCTATATCTCTCCTGACGGACTCATCACGGATGAAATGTCCGCACGAGTGTGGAACCCTCGGTTGAGACACCTGCGGCGTCATCACGCCATCCGGTTGTCTGTGAAGGGTTGAGTGTATGCTGCTGCAGTTCGGCCGGTTCTGCTATACAGCACAAAACGTGGTCATTCTAAATCTGGGATAAAGGTGACTTTTCGTTCGAATATCGCTGTCCACTCCGCATTGCACGATTCTGATGGGGAAACCGGACAAGCAATGCTGAGTTTGGACGCATAGATTTAAGTAATCGCGGTAGTCCACTGGGGCCAGTGGTCGACCTCCATGGAATACGGTGTTTCGGATATGTGTTGCGCATGTCGCTAAATCGGTTGCCACGGCGAGCGATGTTTGCCGAGGCAGGTAATGGTTTTAGATACTGAAGGTAACTGAACTTCATACTTGGAAGACTCAAGAATACGGGCGCTTCGATGGCCCGCACCATATGGACTATAGTTCAGACAACCATGATTCCATGAAGTCTGCTGAGCGACAGTGCGTCTCTTCTGAATTTCTCAGAAACCTTGGAGGTTACATTTTCTTTTTTTATCACACACTTTCGTGTGAGGAACAGTAGACGAGGAAAGCCCCATAATCACAAGTATCTTCTGTTCAGTGATGGAACCTGGTAACCTAACCCCCGGGACTTGCAGTGGCGAACCACATAAGGCCCCGATAGGTTAGGTGTGGTACCGGACCGGACGACGGCAAAGCCACCTACCACGAAAGTTGGGTGACGGTGGCGTGGCTTGAACCTCGGATCATAGGGTCCAGAGCACGCTTGTGACAGCGACTAAACCACTGCACCACCACCACTCGTATTACTTCAGAAACTACTCACTACCTTATCGAAATGTAAAGTAGTTTGTATTTTCTCACTGAAATGCGGACATCTGCCCAAGCAAAAGTCTATACAAATATAAATACACATACAAATCGGTTTGTTAGAAGCAGAGTAATTTTCCAGTGATCGAAAGTTTGTTCAGTTGTTTCAGTATAACTGCGATCATTGTGGAGTTCACTTGCTCTTTTTTATTAAAAGGTAAACAAGCTCTTGTTGTCACTGGATATGTTTGATTATCTTTCCCCTCGTATTTGAATGTTGCAGATTCCGCAAGGCGCGTGTCATTTCCGTCACCCTTTCCTGTGATCATCGTGTGGTAGATGGAGCAGTCGGTGCCGCCTGGTTGGCCGAGCTGAAAACCTCTTTGGAAACCCCTGGTATGATGTTGGCCTAGTCAAAAGAGGCGTCTGTTGCTTCTACTGGTACAATCGCGTCAGTGACAAACTATTTTTCGGGTTAGTACTGACTGGTTTGTTAGAAAAACCGAAATAAAAAACTAATAATTCCGGTTAGCTTTATTTCTTATTTGCACCACAAGCACATTTTCGCTCTCATCTGCCGGCCGCAGATCGTGTCAGTTTCAACGCCCTCTGTTTACCCGTAACACCCATCCTCTTTTTCATTCCTGCATACATGCGTTCTAATCACTCTTATCCTTTTCCTATTGTTGTGACATTTCCACGGTTTGTGTTTCCCACTCTCGAGAAGTTCTTTTCAATTTCGTTCCCTTATTGTTTTTATCGTTAGTATCGGTATCCATCTTCTATCTGCGTAAAGGCTCCTGCAAAAACCCTATGTACCGTGCACTTGTGCATATGCCCCGCTGAGCTGTGCGTCTACAATCCTTATCCCAAGGGGTCTTCTAGCATCTGCGAGAGCAACTTGATGCCATTAGAGTACATATAGTGTTGATAAAAAACTTTGATCTCTGATGTGCGTGTTTACTTCGTTGTTTATACACGAATGGGATTTGCGAACCGAGTTGAGTTCAACCCTCTAAAATCAACTTATTTCTCAAGCCACAATAACAGGATCTCGGAGTAGTGATTATTAATTCCATGTACGCATCTTAGAATCTCTTATTTCGAGCAGACCCTAACATTCTCCGGGTTCATTTTTCACTCCATGAAAGAACAAAGTGGACAAAATGAGGCTTTCAGTGTAAGTGGCCGGTAACAGTAATGTTAGCATTAAAAACCGGTAATAAAAATGCCCGTGTTCCAACCCAAAATGTAAAATTATTCTATTGTCGTATAACTTGCGGTATATTTGGCTAACCTTCTCCACATTATTTCGAGCACAGTTGATTTGATAGCGACATCTTATTTTGTTGCAAGTGTATGATCACAGTGATCATTCCAATTGTTTGGCTCTTGAAGGGTGTTTCTGTCTTTGTAACAGAACTGGAATGTAATCTTCAAGTAGGAGACTACAGGAATGTGAATCTGAATAATGCTGAGGCCTGTATGGATCGAACATGATCCATTGTTTATGTCATGGGTTTCGGGGCTTGTGGGACTGAAGGTCACAATTTCCACGCATTATGGGGCCTGATAACTGATAAGTTCAAAGTCCTATATGAATATCTTGATTTGATAGCGGGATGATTTGAAGTTTCAGTTTAAACAACCATTAAGTATGTATTTTCGTGCAACGCTTTTGGTTGCTGTCTTTCGGCTGTCCATTTAGGTTAACAAAAGGAGAAAAACAGGGAGATTGAAAGTAGGATCGAAGAGAAAAACGAGAAGTTCGGTGAACTAACGAAGCAGAGAAATTGAGAAGATACACGAACGCCACAACAAGACTGCACATTGACGTGGTGTGATGGCTTGCATGCCTCCATGACTCTGCGAGCTATAAAGAATGGCTCCTCACAGCCGCAGCTCCAATCATGCCTGAAAGGTCAATAGGTAGAGGCCGGACGAAGATCAGTCCCACAAGCCAGCTGCTTGGGCACCTCCTGGCTTCCTTCCATCCACACCCGCCCCTGGAGGTCACTCCAGTTAATAAACACAGTGAGGGGCACTTTACCTGTCAAAAAACCCGCTAGATGGACGTAACAGCGGGGTACCTGGGGCTTCCTCTCGACGGTGGGAGAAGTCTTCGCACTTCACTGGACAGCTAACGCCCGCCCAAGCTGGGCAGTCCCCAGCCAATAAGGTGCTGTCCCGTCCACGTTCCGCTCGTCCCATTGGGTGCATGAGGCTAAGGATCGATCCCGAAAAGCGGATCGTTAATCAGCGAACAACAAACTTAAGCGGAATCCGAAGGCTTTGCGTGACAGGTCTCCAGAAGACCCCACACGGGTACTTCGTTTACGCTCCCGGGTTGGATTTACGCCCCACTGCCTTGTGAGTCAGACTTTTGAGTCGAAGGCCGCGGTTAGGGTTCCCGAAAAAAACCTGCATCGGTGTGGGCTACCGCGAAGTATGCTGTACCCCAAAGTCTTAGGCACCCATTTGGAAAACCCTCATCTGTCTAGTTCTTCCTCTCGATCCTGAATAATCCCAAACGCCTGCTGTTTACAAGGCCCATCGTATATCACTCAGCGTTTTACCAACAAGTCCAAACAATCGGAAGTTACAGGATTTTTGAAACCGAAATTCGCTTTTTACTTAGCCGCGTTCAACGTCCGCACGCCCTATCAGATCGGTCAACAAGCTGCCTTAGCTAGAACCCTTGAAACTTACAATTTAGATGTATGTTGTGTCTCCGAAACACGCATACAAGACCCCACTTCCATTATCTCCCTGTGTTCTCCTGATGCAACCTGAACCTCACGCTTCACCCTTCGTGTATCAGGCGATTCGTTGACTGAAGCTCGCGGTGTTGCTGATGTCGGGATTGCGCTGAGTGCCAAGGCTGAACGCTCACTTCTTGACTGGATTCCAGTCGGTAGCCGACTGCGCGCCGTACGACTGGATGGTTCAGCGCGGGTCAACAGCTACAGAACTAAGCATCGATGTTTATTCGTCGTATCGATGTATGCACTGACCGATTGCAGTACACATGAAATCAATGATGGATTCTGTAAGGACCTTCCTCGATTACCCCAAAGCGTTCGAACAACAAACATCATGGCAATTACCGGAGACTTCGGTGCTCAAGTGGAATCACCCGACGAATAAGAAATGCTTCTTGGCGGACCACATGCAATCCCAGCCAACCGGGCTGACAACGAAGATCGACTACATCAACTTTGTGCAGACCACGGATTGTTCCAGTCGAACACGAAATTCTCGCACAAGAAATGACAGCACCTTACATGGAACCTGACAATCTCTTCACAGCGCTGGACCCAAATCGACCTCACTGCCATCAGTTACCGCTGGAGAGGGTGGATTTAAGACTGCTGTTCTTACTGGTCCACACACCTGTGGATACGGACCACGCTTTGCTACGAGCCGAATTCGCCTTAAGTCTGGCAAACAACCGCAAGAAAGCCACCGACAATGGATACCCACGATACAGAGTCAGCGATTGTTGCAAATCAGTTTTCGAAGCGGAACTCTCTGATCGCCTGTCAGTTCAATCACCAGCCGAAGGACTCAATGAACACTGGAAGCAAATATCAATAAAACCATCGGATCCTGCCGAAAGCTCAAAACACAAACGATGGATCTCAACGACCTCGGCTGCCCTGCTGGACGCCCGCAGAATCCTTCCTCCTCATGCTACATAAGACAGCGCGCAAATCCCTCAAACGCGAGCTCATCAAGAGTCTGAGGAACGACCACGAGAAGTGGTCGATAGGAAAATGTAGAGAGATGGAGAAGGCTGCGACTATTGGTAATAGTCGCAATCTTTTCCGTCTAATTAGGAATACCGGCTCCAGGAAAATGGGCGTAAGTAAGGCAATTAAGGAATCCGATGGCGCACTGATTCACGATCAGCAATGCCGTCTAGATCGATGGGCTGAACATTTCGAGGCTCAGTTCAACTGACCCCCATCGACATCTGACCTATCACTCTCGAACGGGACTGGGCAGATACTGCCAGTTTATACCAATCCTCCATCTGAAATGGAGGTTTCCCGGGAAATAAGCTACCTCAAAAGACATAAGGCCTCTGTCCCAGACGGGCTGACTCCATCACCTTTTAAGGATGGAGGTCTAGCCTTGGTTTCGGAGTTAGCAAAACTCCTGGGCTCAGTGAAGGAGAGGGAACACGTTCCGACTGAATGGTGTGAATCGGTGATTATACCGATTTACAAGAAAGGTGACAGATCCTTCTGTGGAAGCCACAGATGAATTAGTTTGGTTAACATCGCTTCTAAACTAATCGCCGGTATGGTACTCCGTCGATTGTCTACCGTACGTGAAGAGTGTCTACCCGCTAGAGCCAGGCTGCTTTTAGACCTGGTCGAGGTTGCATCGACCACATCTTCACTCTTCGCCAAATTCTAGAACATGGACAATCCCTTCGTAGACCCACGATTGCCATCTTCCTGGACCTGGAGGAGGCTTTCGACTCAATCGACTGCTCTAAACTCTGGTGCTGCCTGTCTCTGAATGATGTGCCGGAGAAGTTGATTTCAATATCCCAATCCTTTTATAATAATAGCCTAAACTGAGTCCTAGGTTACGGCACGGTTTCACCGGAATTCACCGTCATCAGCATCATCATCGCGCAGCGGAAACAGTGAAGCGAACTTCACGGATCGCTGCCAAAGTCTCAATGCATACAAGGTTAGCGGTAAAATTTGCGGTGGATAGGGATCGTATCCATCTTGAGGGAGAAGATGGGCCATTATGGTCAACACACAGAGTACGCAATCGAACTCTGCATACATGCCGTTTAAAGCATTCTGACGTGATAAGAAATGACAACAAGAACGCCGGTTCGCTGCCATCTCCTTCAATGTCTCCAATCAACCAGTTGGGGATACCTGTCACGAGGGTTCGAAAACTCAAACCACGAGTCTGGGTCACATAGGTCCCGTTAGGCTCCCTGGATGGGGACCTCGGGATCAAGGCAATCAACGGTTAGAGACACCGAATGATATGGCTGGGTGTCGTAAACAATGGCGTTCGTGCATTTTCTCATTTTCTGCGCATCATTAGTCCACTGAACTTTTCAATTTTCTCTTCAATCCTACTTTCAACCTTTCTGTTTTCCTTCTATTGTTCATCCA